TAAGACAACTTGGGTATTTGCCTATATAAAATTCATTGTGCCTATTTATTTGTATTATTATATAATAATATAAAAATATATAATAATATAGAAAAGTAATATTCTTGACTTATTCTCAGGCACTGAGCCAGAAGTGCAATTGTTTATTCTCTCTTACTGTATTTGTTTTCTGTAAGGGACACATGTTTAAATACTGCATTGTTTCTGTGGCATGAGAAACCGAAAGTGGAAATAAGGACTAAAATGTATAACAGATATTGGGAAATGGGAAGAAAATGTTCAAATGGGAAGGGGAACTGGGGGGAGGCAGGGAGAAAGGAAAGAAGGGACAAGAGTGAACAGAGAAGGAAAAGATGGAAACAAAGCTTTTGTAGATAGAGAGGGGAGGGGGCTTGAGGGGAGAGGGGAATGGGAAAAAAAAAGGCGGGATGTATTATGTACAGGTACAAATTCCCTATGATGAGTGTTATCATTATGAATGTCTAAAATATAAGCCGGGACCGGGGATTTAGCTCAGCGGTTTCGCCGCCTGCTTCGCAAGCACAAGGACCCGAGTTCGATCCCCCGTACCAAAAAAAAATTATATATAGACTGAATCATACCTCCACGTATGCCTGGAGGTATGATTCAGTCATAGCAAAGTCTGGCCACCTGCAGGGAGACCAAAAATTTCGGAAAAATTTCCAACCTTTACAAATCGTTCTATTGTACTACCCCATTAACTGGCCTGAATTGTTCCGAAACCCAAGTAAGCACAGAGAAGGTTCCAAATGGGAGCTAGATGTACTTTTGCAATTTCCTCTTCCGTGTCACAGTAAATTCTCACAGGTTAAGCAGAAATGCCTGGAGTACGTGTTTCAACTCCATGCCCTTCACCTTGCTCACCCCTAGATCAACATTCTTCAGGGATGCTAGAAGTGACTCCGTATTTACTGCTCTATTCTTCCTCATCAGGCCTTATCATTAGTATTTGAGAGAAAACAGACCCAAATTGGAAGAGCCTTGGTTCCCTACCATGAACACATTCAGCTGCTCTAAGGTTAGGCCTGTGCCCCTGGGGGTGGGACAAGGGAAGACTGGGATGAAGAATGAATGACTTTTCTTTTGGTCCCGGGGATCGAACTCGGGTCTTTGAGCTTGCGCAGCAGGCAGCGAAACCACTGAGCTAAATCCCCGGCCCAGGAATGAATGACTTGAGGAGAAGGTGTGAACATATGGGAGAAATCTGTCCCCTGGAAAACGTCAGGAGGTGGTATATACAGGAAAGGGCTGAACTCGAGTCCCAGGGCGTTTTTAGCCCTAACAGGGAGCCCGACTTCGGTGAGCGGATCGGGGCCGGAAGTCGGGGACGGCTCCAGAAGACAATGTCGACGACGTTGCGAAGGGACCAACAGAAAGACCGGCCGGCGCCGCTCCCTCCCGGTGGTGAGGGCGGCGGCTCCGCGGGCCGGCTGCAGGACTGACCTTCGGGGCCCTGGGGGCCCGGGCCCGGCCGAGCCGGCCTGGCAGGGGCGGGCGCAGTACTGGTCTGTGGCCTTCACCGCGTCCACCAGCCACTCGGCGCAGCGGCGCACCTGGCGGATGGTGTCCGCCGCCTCGATCAGGTCGCGGTTCCTCTCGCTCACCATCTGCGGCTCCTCCTTCTTGTGCTCGAAATAGGCCTCACCTGGAACTCTAGCCTACGGATTTCCTCCTTCCCAGAGTATCGAAAAGCGCCCCAGGGTTCCGCAGATCCAGCGGCTCCAGAGCAGACAAGGCGACGGAGGTTACCCAGAAGCACAAATCAGTCACGGGCGGCTACTTCCGGCCACCAGCCCCGCCCTCGCCGCCATTTTAGATGAGGGCAGAAGCACTTTCGCCCTGGGACTGTGTTTGTTCAGGGCTTCCAGGGCCAAGCCGATTGGCTCTGGGCTATGGCCGGCGGAAGTGATCGCGTACTTGCTAGCCCACACTCTTATCTTCCTGGGCCAGGTGGATTCTTTCCTCGTCAGAGGTCAGGTCAATTATCATAATTAGGCACCCGCGGTCTGATTGTTATTCCTAGTCTGGACGCTTGTATTCCCATCTAGGCAATGGCAAGGCCAGGACAGGGGCGGTCCCCGGGGGATCACGTGATTTCGCTGTCCGTGGATCCTTTTTCCTCCACGCCCCTCCAGTTTCCCGCTGCGCGCGTGTGCAGGGTGCGGGTGGAAGCTAGGCGTGGACCCCCTGTCTGAATAAGCTGAGTCCTTTGCCTGTCGGCCAAAGCCCGAAAGCCTTCCTGGTGTACTTGGAGCCTTCCCTCCTTAGAAAAGAACTTTACAGTCAGGGTCATTCCGTCTGTATGTATCAGTCCGGTGGTGCGTGCTTGTAGTTCCAGCCACTCTAGCAGCTAAGGAAAGTTTGAGGCCAGTCTGGGCAAGACTACCTCAAAAACGAGGAAATAGGTGGGGAGAAATCATTGGGGGGTTTTTTGTTGTTTTTTGAGACAAGTCCTCGCTTTGTAGTTCAGGCTGACCTTGAACACACTATATAGCCCAGGGTGGCCTTGAACTCCGATCATCAGCTTCCTGAGTGTTGGGATTACAGGCGTGTGCCACAACGCACGGTACTCATTTTGTTGGTGTGAAAACAATTTTTTTTTCCCATTAACTTTATTGGTACATTTTAGGTATAACATACAGTTACATTCATCATTGGGATCTTGTACCATTACATGAGTCTTTTGGTTCTTATTTTTTTCCCCCTTCCCTTGCCCTCCCTTCACCCCCTCCACCCTTCCCTATTTGCAAAGACCTTGTTTCCATTTGTTTCCCTCTT